GCCGCCAGCAGCAGCAGCGGCGGCAGCGGCAGCGGCAGCAACAGCGCCAACAGCCTGCCGGCTCCCAGCCACCGGGTCGCGGCCAAAAGACCCGCAGCTGAAGGTACGGAGCGCAAACCGAAACCCGCCGCCAAAAAACCCAAAGCCATCCGAAAACTCAACTTCGAAGACGAGGTGACCACTTCCCCTGTGCTCGGCCTGAAAATCAAAGAAGGGCCGGTGGAGGCGAAGCCGAGGGCGCAGTCCTCCGGGGGGAACAAGCCTCTGGGGGAGTTCGTGTGTCAGCTGTGTAAGGAGGCGTACGCGGACCCGTTCTCCCTGGCTCAGCACAAGTGCTCCCGCATCGTCAGGGTCGAGTACCGCTGTCCGGAGTGTGACAAGATGTTCAGCTGCCCGGCCAACCTGGCCTCTCACCGCCGCTGGCACAAACCCCGGGGCACCGCGGGGGCACCGGCGCTGCCCTCCGCCGCGCAGCAGGGCATCAAGACCGAAATGGGGAAAATGCCAGCGCTGGGCGTCAAGTCGGTGTCGGACGAAGCCAAAGACATGAGCGACAGGGACACGCCGAGTCCAGGTCTGTCCGAGTCCGGCTCCGAGGACGGCTGCTACGACTGTCAGTTCTGCGGCAAGAGGTTCAAGCGGCAGGCGTACCTAAGAAAACACATCATGGGACACCAAGTCTTACATAAGAAGGTGCTGGAGGAGCACGGCTTCGCCGAGCAGGCGCCCGTGCCTTCCTCCTCCTCCTCAGCCGCCGCCTCCTCCTCATCATCATCATCCACCACCACCACCACCTCCTCCACCACCTCCTCCACCACCTCCTCCACCACCTCCTCCACCACCTCCTCCACCACCTCCTCCACCACCTCCTCCACCACCTCCTCCACCACCTCCTCCACCACCTCCTCCACCACCTCCTCCACCACCTCCTCCACCACCTCCTCCACCACCTCCTCCACCACCTCCTCCACCACCTCCTCCACCACCTCCTCCACCACCTCCTCCACCACCTCCTCCACCACCTCCTCCACCACCTCCTCCACCTCCTCCCCTCCTCCTTCTCAGAAGAAGCCTCAAACCAAAGCCCCCTGAACCTGAGCCCGGTGGACTGCCTGCTGTGCCCGGTGTGCGGGGAGAGTTTCAGCAGCAGGGCCGGTCAGGAGCGACACCTGCGCCTCATGCACTCCTCCCAGATCTACCCGTGCAAATACTGCCCCGCCACCCTCTACAGCTCCCCGGGACTCACCAGGCACATAAACAAGTGCCACCCCTCGGAGAACAGGCAGGTGATCCTGCTGCAGATGCCGGTGCGCCCCGCCTGCTGAAGACCACACACCAAACCCGTGCCTTTAGAAGGAAAGGAAAGGAGGAAGAAAAAGAAAAGAAAAGAAAAAATAACACAAAAAATTTCAAAAAAAAAAAAGTGGCTTTGAGGGTTAGAGAAAGAGTGACGTCACTGCCATAAACTTTAAGCCAATGAGAGGTGGTTTGATGTTTTCGTGGTGTTTTTTTTTTCTCCATGCCAATCAGTGATTGTCGAACGCTTCTCTCTATATTTGAATACTTTAAGATTTCCTTTGTCAAATTAGTTTATCGAGTTAAAATAAGAAACAAACAAACAAAAAAAAAAACAAACACAAAGCGTTAGTTTGACTGTTAAAGGGTATTTTTCTAGGACAGCACACGTGATCAATGATGATATAGCTTCTAGACCTAAGAAAATGTCTTAAAAAAATCTCAGAAATCTCCCCCCTCCTTTTTCTCCCCCCTCTCTCTCTCTCAGCTCTGCCTCCTGTAGCTTTAGTGAAAGACAGAACTGATTAGAGTGA